TCACAGTGACGCCAGACGAGCGCCGGTGCTTTTAACCGTGGCGCGGTGATCTGTGTGAGCAAGAAAATGAAAAATGGAGAAGAGAGAGAGAGGAGATGAATAAAGAAAATGGCGAAATGGCGAAAATGGTGAAGCAAAAGCTTGATTTTAAAGCCAAAATATGACCGTTACCCAACCCCGTTCTCATGCCACGGTACCCGTTACCGTTTAATGGTACTTTGATGACGTGGCACGCTGGAATTTGCGGGTCAAAAGCATAAAAATCCACGTCGTTGACCAATTCAAACAGCAAAAAAAGCCCCGTGACACGGGGTTATATCCCGTCTGACAGGGGATGATACCGTGTCACGGCATAATGCCACGTGGCACGGTGGTTCTGCGTGTTGTCAGCGAATATTCCTGGCGTTTTTGACCAGTTTGAATGATTTTTCGAGGCTTTTGGGCAGTTATTTTTTCGCTGGAATTACGCGGAAAATTCTAACTGATACTTAAAGGGGACTAAAATTACCCTTTTACCCCTAGCAAGCATCAAAATCTATTTTTCGACATTTTAAACACCTAATAAGGTCGGACAATCGACTTGAAGGTGTGAATCATCTGCGGCTCACGTTCGGGGACAATCGAGCCACTATTATTCCAGCGCAAAGTTCTCGATACACAAAGGCTTGTAATTTCAATAGACAAATTTTTCCTCAAGCATGGAAAATTGTCAGTCGTTATCACCTCTCAGCATGAAGAAGTCAGCGATTATATCGTTCATCGACTTTCCTCAAGCGTGGAAAGTATTCATTCATTGACTTTACTCAAGCCTGGAAAGTTTTTATCTATCGACTTTCCTCAAGCATGGAAAGTATTCATCAATCGGCTTTCCTCAAGCATGGAAAGCATTATTGGTGGATTTCTTCAAGCATACAAAATCGCCAAAATCATCTGTCGATTTTCCTCAAGCATGGAAAATGTTATCTGGTAGATTTCTTCAAGCATAGAAAGCTACCAAATTCATCAGTCGGCTTTCCTCAGGCATGGAAAGCATTTCAGCGAAACATCATCCAGTGGATTCCTTCAAGCATAGGAAGATACCAAGCATCATTTGTCACCGATACACTGGTGTCAGATACGTATTCTATCCCTTTACTCTTTTATCTGTAGAACTAAAAAATTTCTGCAAGTATCGGCATATACAGAGTGATTTAGGATCGCAGAACGTCTTAAATCATTCTCCGTCCCTATCGACTACTTTGACTATTGTTTTCGAAACTTACGTTTCTACAAATTCAGTCAAAGTGGGGGCTTCTGTAGATACCTAAAAATGTCTCCCCAAAACCAAACCCGATGATGAACAACCTTTCACCGCCACTGTTGGTCGGGTTCAGTATTTAATCCCGAGAGTGCTTAAAAAATCGTATTTGATTAAATTCATATTTTTGAATAGTCCATGGATTAGTCTCGATGTTTGGTAAAAGCATAATTTTAATTTCAGCCCAAACTTATTTCTAGCCCAAACCTTTTTTTATTTATTGTTTTATTATTTAATTTTAGCCCAAACCTTTTATTTATTTTATTTAATTATTTTTTTATTTTAGCCTAAATAATAATAAGTCAGAAAAGGCCCGAAATTATCAATCGGCACTTAAAATGCCAAATGAAATTAGGGTTAAAAATGTATTTTGACGGAAAAGCGGGCTGGGAATTCCCGCGCCACGGCAGATACCCACCATGTCACGGGAATCATTCCCGTCTGACGGTGGAATTCCCCGTGACACGGGAAATCTGCCGTGACATGGGAAATTCCGTGTCTTTTCCGCGTAAACCCTTAACGTGTTTTCTTCCCCGTTTACTGAAAATTTCCCGCGTCACACTAAAAATGCACCGTGTCACGGGATATTTTTTTAGGGTTTTTATCATTTTAGGGTTTCGTGTGCTCCCTCAGCACATTTTCTCTATAAATACCCCCTCATTTCTGATGTACGGGGCATCAATTAATTCTCTAGTTGATTTTTCTCTCTTCTATGCTCTAGCCTTAACACTAGCCTACCCTTTTTCTTTCAAAATTTCTTCTTCAAGTACTCCAAAGAGTCCATACTTTACTCGTGGTTCTGTCCTTAAGCCAAGGCGTGAAAGGTAGAACTGTTTGAGGGTTTGGCCCCAAATCAACTCTACTTAATTTAATTTAATTTAATTATTGTTTTATTATTATTTCCTTGAAGTTACAAACTCGTTTATTATTTTGTAGTTGCAAACAAACAGAATCAAAGTAAGAATAATGTTCCTTCTATTTCTATTATTTTTCTAACGATTTTATATTGTTGGAATTATTGCTAAATTGCTTCCAATATTAATGTTTATTCTATTTTTATTTTTATGATCACCATATTGCATGTTTAAAGGGAATATGTAATTGAAAATCACGCCTAATAAGATAATTTGGACAACCGGTTTAGGTTCCTTTTAATCTTGTTGCTTAATTCAAGTGATCACAATATTTTAGAATTATGTGTTGCATTAATATTAAGGAAAATTTGTAAATTACCACCCATAAAGGGGTCCTATTTTGAAATTACCACCCATTAAAACTTTTATTTTAAATAACCACCCATTAAATTAAAAAACATTTCAGATTACCACCTTTTTTGGAATTCCAGTGGAAAATCCGGTTGAGGGCCCCACCTTATTAACTTTCCTCCCTTTTTTTTTCATTTCCCTCGACCTAACCTTCTTATTGAAACATTAAACTAAAAAAAAAACATCTTCTCTCATCAATTTCTTCAATTAATTCATCCAAAAGAATTAATCTTTCCCTTTTTTCTTCCTTTAATTCTCTGTCAAATTTGCAACTACCCCTTAAGGGTTGAATCATAACCCTAACCTTTTTTTTTCTGTAAATTGGGACCCTATTTGTACTTGCATTTGCTGTTGAAGTCGCCATCTTGGTGTGTTTTCTGGGGACCAAAACCATGTAGGTAAAGCTCCTGTCAAATGGTGAAGTCAATGGCGACGCCTGAGGTAAGCAATTGGGACCCTTTACAATTTCAGACATGTAGCCTAATTGCAAAAAAACCCCAATTTTAAAGCCCCAAGAACCCTAATTCCAAAATTGCAAAAAACACCCAATTTTATTGCCCTAAGAACCCTAATTCCAAAATTTAAGACATGTACCAGCTGCAATTTGAGAAAATTTGGATGAAATTTGGGGCAAAAGTTGTGAATTGATGATGGATAATTTATAAAGAAAAAAAATCGAGGAGGGAAACATTCAAAAGAGTCAAATTTGCCGTTTTTAGCCGATATGTAGGGCCTTCAAACGGATTTACCACCGAAATTACAAAAAAAGTGGTAATCTGAAAACCTTTTAATTTAATGGGTGGTTATTTAAAATAAAAGTTTTAAAGGGTGGTAATTTCAAAACATGACCCCTTTTTGGGTGGTAATTTACAAATTTTCCTAATATTAAACCAATTTAGCATAGTAATAGTTTGGAGCAAATTGAATTTTTGTTTGAATGCCTTTGAGATCGCAAGAATCATTTTTCACTATAAGAATAGAGTAGAGGCCAATACGGGCGAATGTGACTCCATGACTCACTTCGTACCATCATCCCCGATCCTCCTTTCGTGGTTCCGAACCATATGGAGTTAGTAATCTCATGGATTATGAATGGGGTGTAACCTTCACGGGTCAATCGTTGTTGCCTTCGTTGTCCCTTTATCGTGGTTGCCTTTAATGATCCATGAGCAGTTTACAAGTTCCTTAAAAACTTGTTGGCGGCTCCCTGATGTCTTCCATGACTTTTTGTGATGCCCATTTTGCATTGCTTATGGGGTTGTAAGTCTCTAAGCCCCTGCAAGTGTGTACATTAGGCCATATTTGATTGCCCAAGTTCTGCCATCTGACAGTCTACTGGCATGCAATCTCCAATCACAATATTCAGATTGACAAACTGCACTGTACCTTTTGTTGTCAGCATACTCTATATCGATAGCAAATCTTTCTTGAACAGCAAAATCCTTCAAAGTGTCCTTAAAGTGAGCCCCTGCAAGTGTGTACATTAGGCCATATTTTCTTGCCCAAGTTCTGCCATCTGACAGTCTACTGGCATGCAATCTCCAATCACAATATTCAGATTGACAAACTGCACTATACCTTTTATTGTCAGCATACTCTACATCGATAGCAAATCTTTCTTGAACAGCAAAATCCTTCAAAGTGTCCTTAAAGTGAGCTTTGTCATTAAAAATCATCCAAGGCCTGAGTTTTATTTTACAAAAATTAGCATCCTCATACATTTCTCCATTCTTGTACAATCTCTGAAAATAATCTTCATCATCTTCATCATTAAAGAAGTCAAACCATTTTGTTGGTTTCCAGGTGTCCTTCACTTTTGGTATCCTATTAAGCTGCTCTTGCTCATCTTCTGAAATATCACCTGTTGGTGCAACTTCTCCATCAGAGTCTTCTTCAACTTCATTATAACCACCTGATCTCTCAGTTCCATAGAATCAGATCTTAGGACAACAAATTGCATCTTTCTTCTCAGCCCAGAACCAGAACTGCCCTGCACCTGACTCATATTCACCCCTAAAGAACTTCCATGCACCTAACTCAAATTCACTGCTGAAGAACTGCCCTGCACTTGACTAAAATTACCCCTAAAAAACTGCCCTCAGTCACAGTCACATTCACCCTAGAAGCTTATCCATGAATCTGACTCACAGTGTCACCAACACCTAGCATCCTTCTCTCACTCACAGTTGAACCTATCCTTAAACCCTTTCTTATAGCCGTGGACCTAGGAATCTTTCTTCTAAATACAGAGGTCTGAGCTAATGGTTCAACATCAAAAGTTTTAGGTGTCTCAGTGACTGCCAAAGGTGAGAATCTAGGACTCTTTCTTAGTGCTAAACCCTTGAAAAGAGTAGTTGGTAACCTAGGAGATGGTGGTTGCATTGGGGTTGTTTTGGTGGTACTAATCTTTTTATTCTTTGTAGCCTTAACCTTCTTAGACTTTTGTATCCTGTCCATAGATTTCTCAAACTCTATTCTACCCTTGGTATACTCAGAAGTAGACAGTGGCGGACTTGGGCTTAGACCTGGTGGGTCAAGTGACTCACCAGGCCCAAAAAAAAATTTTAAGTTAATTTTAAAAAAAAAAAAAAAAAAAAAAAATCAGTTTTCCCAAATTCACGAATTCAGTATTTCAGTTCATGGCCTTCAATCCTTCATGCCCTAGCCAATTCGCCTCTTCCCTAATTCCCTTCAAGGCTTCAATCCTTCGCCATCATCAATCACCTATTCACCTCCATAATCGCCTCCTCCAGTCCTCCTCTTCGCAGTTCGCAACTCGCAACTTCGCAAGTAAGCATCTTCCTCACTCCTCAGTTAGTCAGTTCCTCTTCGCAGACTCGCAGTTCGTGCCTTCGACCCTTCGTCTTCCTCTTCGCATAAATTCAGGTGAGGTTAGTCTTCCTCTTCGTCTTCCTCAGTTAGTCTTCATCTAAATTTGTTTAATTGTTGATAACTTGATAACTTGATTGTCTTGATAATTGCTTGATTGCTTCGCTAATCGCTAGACGCCCAGTGGCCCTAGACGCTGCCTAGACGCCTACTGAGTACTGATTATTGTTAATTGTTAATTTTGTTATATATTGTTGTGATTTTGTGAATTGTTCAATGAAATTCTGAATGGTGAATTTGTGAAATGTTTGACACTTTAGTTCCTCTTCGTCTTCCTCAGTTCCTCTTCGCATAAATTAATTAATTAACTTAGTCTTCATCTAAATTTGTTTAATTGTTGATAATTGATATTACTTGTTAGTTATGAATTAGTAATACTAAATTTGATTCTTTGAACCCTAAATCCCTAATTGTTCAATAATCAACTCAATTGTTCAATAATCAACTCAATTTCAATAATCCCTAATTGTTGTGATTTTGTGAATTGTTCAATGAAATTCTGAATGGTGAATTTGTGAAATGTTTGACAATTGACACTTTACATACTTGTTCAAGCTGTGATGCTGTGATGCTGGCCTGCTGCCCTGTGAGCTTGTGATTTCAAGCTGTGAAATGGTGAATTTGTTAATTGTTCAAGCTGTGATACTGCCTGCTGGCCTGCTGCTCGCCTAGTCGGCAGTCGCCTGCTGCCCTGCTCCACTGCTCGAGAGTCGAGAGCGTGCTCTGCGCTCACCGCTCTTCGCTTCGTCGCTTCTTCTAAAGTCTAATCTCCTATTCTCATTTTGCTAGTAAGTTGATTTCTAATTTTTAGTTTAAAATTCTAATCTTCAATTTAATCAAGTCTAATTAGTTAATTCTATTAAACTTTGGTTGATTTGTTAGTTGTTCACTTCAAGTCTTCAATCACTTGTTTGTTTGGTAAACTTTGAACCTTTTGTTAATGAGTAATGACCTTAATGTAATAATGTTGTTGGGTTTTAAATGAAGTTTGAACCTTTTTGACCATGTGAATATGTGATTATGTGAATTGTGGTTTGTTTGGTAAAATGATCTTTGTAAATAATTTTTCTGGGGAATTTTGCTTGCTTTAGTTGATTATTTATTCAAATTTCAGAATGAAGAGAAAACGCACTCCAAATGAACTGCAAAACATTACTAGCTTCTTTGCTAAAAAGAATCCTACTTCAACTTCTCTTCCACATCCCACACAAAATGAACAAACTATATCTCCACCTCAACAGAGTGAACAAACTATATGTCCACCTCAAGAAAGTGAACAACATTCATCTCCATCTAATTATTCCACTCAAAATTCCCCTCAAAATGAACAAGGCCAATGTTCTCCTAATGCCCCAATCTTTGGTGAAAGATTAAGTGAACATGAATTTGCTAATCTTCCACAAGATCCAGGAAAGAGGATACTTGATTATCGATTGTGAACATGAATTTGCTAATCTTCCACATACATTTGGTTGTATTTTGTACTGTTTTGAATATTTGGATGTATTTTTTAGTACTATTATTTGGTTGTTCGGTAAATTTTTTTTTTTAGATACTTGATTATCGATTGTGACTCACCAGTCGGAAATTCCTGGGTCCGCCACTGGAAGTAGATTGAGGATTATTTGTTTCTTCTTGGGGTGAATCATAACCCTCAGTATACCTAGGTGGAGAGGACTCATTATTTAGGATTAATTATCTCATCAATAGAAGGTTGTTTTTCAATTTGGGAAGGGTCAAATTGGAATGGTTCTGTTTGGGTTGTTTCATTTTGAGTGGGTTGATCTGTTTGGAGTGTTTCATTCTGAGGGGGTGGATCAGTTGGTGGTACAGTTTGGGAAGGTTCATCATTATGGGGTGGTACAGTTTGGGAAGGTGCAGCAATTGGTTGTGCAGATTTGGATTTGTTCCTTAACCTGTTGATCATTCTATTCAAGGCACTTGGTTTCTTGGAAAACCCAACCCAAATGTGATACATCTCACAGTCATCTAGGGTATGAATCATCTTTAAAAAATCAGCATCATCTAGTAAAGGGTGATTCTTTTCATTGTGACCATAACCAAAGGTAGGGTTGATTAAGTGTAGACACCTAAAAATGTCTCCCCAAAACCAAACCCGATGATGAACAACCTTTCACCGCCACTATTGGTCGGGTTCAGTATTTAATCCCGAGAGTGCTTAAAAAATCGTATTTGATTAAATTCATATTTTTGAATAGTCCATGGATTAGTCTCGATGTTTGGTAAAAGCATGGTTTTAATTTCAGCCCAAACCTTTTTTTTTTTATTTATTGTTTTATTATTTAATTTTAGCCCAAACCTTTTATTTATTTTATTTAATTATTTTCTTATTTTAGCCCAAATAATAATAAGTCAGAAAAGGCCCGAAATTATCAATCGGCACTTAAAATGCCGAATGAAATTAGGGTTAAAAATGTATTTAGACGGAAAAGCGGGCTGGGAATTCCCGCGCCACGGCAGATACCCACCGTGTCACGGGAATCATTCCCGTCTGACGGTGGAATTCCCCGTGACACGGGAAATCTGCCGTGACACGGGAAATTCCGTGTCTTTTCTGCGTAAACCCTTAACGCGTTTTCTTCCCCGTTTACTTAAAATTTCCCGCGTCACACTAAAAATGCACCGTGTCACGGGATATTTTTTTAGGGTTTTTATCATTTTAGGGTTTCGTGTGCTCCCTCAGCACATTTTCTCTATAAATACCCCCTCATTTCTGATGTACGGGGCATCAATTAATTCTCTAGTTGATTTTTCTCTCTTCTATGCTCTAGCCTTAACACTAGCCTACCCTTTTTCTTTCAAAATTCCTTCTTCAAGTACTCCAAAGAGTCCATACTATACTCGTGGTTCTGTCCTTAAGCCAAGGCGTGAAAGGTAGAACTGTTTGAGGGTTTGGCCCCAAATCAACTCTACTTAATTTAATTTAATTTAATTATTGTTTTATTATTATTTCCTTGAAGTTACTAACTCATTCATTATTTTGTAGTTGCAAACAAACAGAATCAAAGTAAGAATTATGTTCCTTCTATTTCTATTATTTTTCTAACGATTTTATATTGTTGGAATTATTGCTAAATTGCTTCCAATATTAATGTTTATTCTATTTTTATTTTTATGATCACCATATTGCATGTTTAAAGGGAATATGTAATTGAAAATCACGCCTAATAAGATAATTTGGACAACCGGTTTAGGTTCCTTTTAATCTTGTTGCTTAATTCAAGTGATCACAATATTTTAGAATTATGTTTGCATTAATATTAAACCAATTTAGCATAATAATAGTTTGGAGCAAATTGAATTTTTGTTTGTATGCCTTTGAGATCGCAGGAATCATTTTTCACTATAAGAATCGAGTAGAGGCCAATACGGGCGAATGTGACTCCATGACTCACTTCGTACCATCATCCCCGATCCTCCTTTCATGGTTCCGAACCATATGGAGTTAGTAATCTCATGGATTATGAATGGGGTGTAACCTTCACAGGTCAATCATTGTTGCCTTCGTTGTCCCTTTATCGTGGTTGCCTTTAATGATCCGTGAACGGTTTACAAGTTCCTTAAAAACTTGTTGGCGGCTCCCTACTTTCCTTGTCCCTAATCGTATACGTCAATTCCCACTTCCTATGAGTGCCAAGCATATTCACACATGCTTTAACGAAGACGCACTTCGAACGACGCCTAAATTAAGGGATACTCAGCGTCTAATGTAGTAGTGTCCTCAAATTCCATAATCAAGTCCATCAAATTACATCTATCTAAGTCAACATCAATATCAACATTTTTATCCCAATAATGACACCTTATCACAACATTACCCATTCTGCAAAATAAGGTAAACAATGCACACACTTACAACATGCAAATTAATTCCAATTCAATTATCCTACAATCAATCAAACATGATCATGGCATTTCATTCAATTTAATTCCATATTTTAAACCAATAATTGAACAAACATAAGCCCCCACCTAATATACATGAAAGAACCCTAAAATCGCACAAATATGCATCATTAAAATCATGAATTAAACCTAAAATCGCATAGAAAAACAGAACATCAAACAAATGCACCAAATCATGCATAAATGAACAGTAGTAGTGCTAAAGTACCTGAATTATGCAAGATTTCCCTCTAATGGCTTTGTATACCAACGAAATTAGCAAATTTTCCCTTGCAAACCCTTCGTGAATTCAACAGAGAGCAGAGGAGGGAGAAATGAATTTGAAAGTGAGTTTGATTTATGTCAAATCGACATAATTGGAAGGGGAAGGGGTTTTGATCGTTGGAGGGAAGGGTTTAAAAGGGGGTAATTAGGGCATGTTCTCTTACGTTGAAATTCAGTTCAGTTCAGTTTAGTTCAGTTCAGTTCAGCTCAGCTCAGTTCAGTTCAGTTCAGTTCAACTCAGCTCCTAATTTCCTTCTCTTATAAAATATTCAGTTCATTTCAGTTCAGCTCAGTTCAGTTCAGTTCAGCTCAATTCAATTCAGTTCAGTTCAGTTCAGTTCAGTTCAGTTCAACTGAGTTCAGTCGATGAGAACAAGCCCTTAGTCTTTTTCATTTTTTTTTACCAAATTATATTTTAACCTAGATTTACTAACTTATTAACATCTGATTAACAGACTTAATCACGTGAGTTAGTAAGTCAAAAACTTGGGCGTATCATTAGGAAGTCCAAAAAAAATGTGGTACCGCTGGGAAAAGTCAGAACCTGGAGTGTATCAATGGGAATTTCCCCTTTTTTTTTTAACGAACTTTGAGATTGTTGTTTTTCTTCAATAAAAAAAAATTAAGCATAAAATAATTTGTGTTAAGCAAAAATAATTTTATTTTGGTTTAAATTCATTTCAGCAAATATAAGGTGAAGTGAACAGGGTCTTAGAAGTTACTCTTTCAATATAATAGGAGTTAGTTTGTTACTGTTATAGGGGTTACTCCTTTTTTTACAAGCACACGGTGTGACCAACCGCACATAAATTAAAATATGTTGTAGATTTTGTATATGTCGCCACGGGTGATATGTAATAATGATATGCATTTTTTTGCTTTACTTATATGCTTGTATATTTAATTTTTTATTTATTATTATATATATGCAATAAAAAATATTAAATGATTACATATAATTTTAAAAAAAATAGATAATCAAACAATTGACAAGCCTAATAAACATCATTTCGAGGTTAAAATTTTAGAAAAAAAATTAAAAAATTATATATTTTTTTTACTAAGCTTTAAGTTAGTGACTTTGTAGATTTTTGACGGGTAAATTTTTGGTTGTAAAAGGTGCGATAGGGTGTGGTGATGATCAGGTGAATTCATCAAGTAATAAAATTAAAGTAGTAAGTGATGGGATAAAAAATCCTATTTTAAAAGTTTCATGTTAAATTTTAAGTGTTTTTAGAGGCCATAGAGGAGAAAAAAGATACGAAATGATTTGTAATATAAAAAATACAATATACAAGGATCATGTTGTTATTATAATGGTAAACTTTTCCAAAAATTTATCGAGTTAGAGGACGGAGATAGTCATTTAAAAGACAAATATTTATATGTGGCTAGTCACACCGTGTGAGAGAGGTTACTCGAGTTAATCGATCAATGGCTACATAATGGGTTTGCTCAGGGGTTATTTAGTCATGAGTTACTTGAGGGGTTCGATCAGGGGTTAGTTACGTAAGGGGTTACTCGGTCAGGGGTTACTTGAGAGGTTCAGTTAAGGGTTAGTTATTTGGTCATGAGTTACTAGAGTCACTCTGTTAGGGTTTAATTTGGGGGATTACTTGAGGGCGGACATGGGTTACTCAGTTATGGGATACTTGCGAGGTTACTTGAAAGCTTCGGTTAGGGGTTACTTGGTCATGGATTACTTGAGGGGTTACTTTGTCAAGGATTACTCGAGGGGTTACTCGGTTAGGGGTTATTAAATGGGTTTGGTAAAGGGTTACGAGTTACTTGGTCTAGGGTTACTTTGGGGTACTTGGTCAGGAGTAACTCGAGTAAACCCGGACACACGATGTGACCAAGCACACTAAAAAATCCACCTAAACCATTTGAAAATGAGGTGACCAGTGGCTCAAGTAAAAACGAGGGAAAAAATATGACTTAATGTGGGTATTGATTGTAAGTTCATTGAGTTGAATTATTTTTCAAATCTTTCCATATAATTTAAGAATTAAAAAAAAATTAATTTCAAGTAGTACTTCGTATATCAATATTTTGAGGGTTAAAATATATGATTAAGACATATTATAAGTAAATTTATTATTACTAATTAAATCATTTTGTTTTAAATTTTTATGAAATGAATATGAGTATCAAGATTTGTAAGACGTGCATCGCACGGGTGTTTTACTAGTAGTAACATTATAACCCTGGTACACTCGGAGTGAAAACTGTCATTTTACTTATGATTTTTTTTAAC